TTGTCCGCTCTGGCCCTCCTGACCTCACGGTTTTGTCTTACAAAAGATGCATCATAAGGAAGAGATGGTATGAACCCTTTTATATCCTAGTGACCCTCCTATTATGTTCGATATGGGATTCATAACTCTTCCTTAGGTCCGTGATATTCTCTCCCATCCAACCTTGTGACGCCCTCGTCACGGAAGTTGGCCACCCTGCTTACCTCCCTCGAGGCACTTGGCGTGGATCAAACGGTTTAGGGCTGGCTCTGATACCATTTGTCACGGGTCGAGACTTAAGCTCCGAACCCGCGCGGCTCCGAGACCCAGGCATCCACTCATCGGACGTCTCAGATCAGTCTTTCTGCCACGGTTCACACTCTTGTGAGATATTGTCTGCTCTGGTCTTTCTGGCCTCACGATTTTATCCTACAAAAGACGCCTCACAAGGAAGAGGTGGTGTGAACCCTTTTATATCCCAATGACCCTCCTATTATGTTTGATGTGGAATTTAAGACTCTTCCTTAAGTCCATGACACGGGGTTGGCTGAATATTTGTTTTCATAGAATTTAAGGAGTTCTTGCCTTGTATCTAATCCTTTCGCTTTTGGTCTAACATCCAACGTATCCCAGTTCCCTGTACATGAATGAGTTACTGACAATTATAGATATTCAGAATACCGATAGGCACTAGTGTCATTTCCTTTTTAAAATTTCAAAACACAAAAGAAAAGGATGACTGGCAAACTGTGGTAAAGATAAGAAAAATCTGACATATCCAAGAAAATAAAAGAACAAAAGATAAAATCACCGAAGTAATTATCCAAGAGAGAAACAGAGATATCATCAGTATCTCAAAACTAACATCTATTCGAGTGTCCCATCCTTGCATATTGAAGGAACATCAAAAACAAGAGGGCACTTGAAAACGAAGTTTAGTAAATAAGCACTGAAATCAAATCCATCCAAGAAATCCAGAAAAGAGTAAGAAAATCTTAGCATTTGACTAAAAGGAGAACAAGTATCTCAGAAGCAAAGATATTCAGACAAAGGTCTTGGAAAAATTCAAAATTGTAGAAGTGCTAAATTATTCGTCATCAGATTCATATATGTTTTTGTATTGCAGACATTCAGTTTTTCAATAATTTATCTCCGATGTCACTAGGTTAATTGACTATGAATTAGAATGCATCGCCTATAGCATGCTTAGTCAATGAATTCAACTGTAGAGAAGATGGAGGACAAGAAGGGTTGCAGGCGAAGGAGGGAGGGAAGATCAAATAAGAAAAGGTTTTAACCTGCACTGAATTTATGAAATGGATGACTTTCCAAGCTTAGATGTTTCTGAAGCTGCATAGAAGGAAAAGTTCAAATGAAAAAGCAGTTCGGAATACATCTAGAAACGTCACCGTTGAAAGATATTACATGATAAGCAACCTGAAATGAAACAAAAAAGTAGTAAGTGCAAATTAAGACCACATAAAAGTTTTGAATCTATTTTTAGCATTATCAATGCCCATAATCCAGCAACAAAATTTCTTACTTAATTAAAAGCAATAAAACCAAGAATTTTCATTTATTTTCAAGAAACACAAAGATTGGAAAGTTTCTAAAAGTGTGCTTATTTTTCTAACAATTATCAATTCTTAACCAATTTTTTGGTAAAAAAAAAAAATCAGAGTGAGGGGAGGCTTCCCCATTCCAAGGCCAGGGTAGACTGTAGGCCTCTTAAAGGACTTGCATTGGATTTACAGATTGTCCAACAGTGGGATTTGAACCTAGGCACCTAGGCCTTACAAGCAAAATATTCAAAACTTAGCAACTCAACCAACCCCATCAGCATCCTTAACCAATTGCAATGGTATAAATCAACCACTTCAAATGACTAGAATGTATTGAGAGTGACAAACAATTGCTCAAATATGAACTGTGACTCACTGTATTTCACATATATCTTTCACTTACAAAGGAAAACATCTCTAAAGTACGCTTTAGCAATGAAACCACGACCTCCATGCATACTATCTAACCCCTCAAGTGGACATAAGGAAACAATGAAGATGAATAATCCTTAATGACAGGTATATTCAATCATCCGCATGTATCAATGTCAAAGGATGAAAGAACTCTTGCCGTTGTAGGATCAATTCACCACTTTGAGGAACCAATCACATTAAAGTTAGAAACTTGTTTCTCTGTGGAGGCAAGCGTACTGAATGAGAAATCTAAGCATGACTAGCACAGTTGGAAAATGGAATTTTCAACAGTGATTTGCGAACGGTCAAAAGGTTTTGGGCTTTGCTTTTGATAACTAAAGCAAAAGTGATAAGCATGAAACACCCATGAAAAGCATCGCTGAGAGTCGAATCACAAAACAATGAAGTTGCAATTGGTGGATGGAGGACAGATTCCAGGTTTCACTTCTTCCAAAAAAAGTAATAACGAATAAAGGAAAAAAAAACATTTATGGCATTCAAATTAGTCAGAGATGAGACTTTGCAATCTTTCAGTAGGACGAAAAGCGATTCATCCATAAGTAAACAATACCTGGTTCATTCTCCAAGCATCAGACAGCAAGTTTTTCTGTATCTCTAGAGAGAGAGAGAGAGCTGTATTGATTAATTATATTTTAAAAGAGAGGAAATCCCTGTATTAGAGAAAACCAAGAACCAAAGAGCTAACCAGAGTCAACAGCTTTCATTTCCCTAGTGGTAGCATCAGATGACATCAATGGTTTGATGAAGAATTGTGCAAACCTGAAGAGCAAATGACAGGAAAACACCCAAACTCACATACGCTACAAGAACATTGATGAAAATAACAGCTAAAGAGAAATTGCACAAACAGCACCTACCGGTCCAGAGCCTGTGACTTTCAAAAACTAATTCTTATAATAATATTTTATTTGAAAATATGAATTTGTAAGAATAGATTTCGTTTAAATTTATTACATAATTTTTAGAATGAAATGCTCGAATTATATAAATTAATAATTAATCATCATTCAACATATCTATATGTTGGGTTTTGTACAAACTCAATGTCTTAAAAGCCAAACAAATACACTTTAATTTTGTAAATTTACTGAGTGAAGACGAATCCAATATATTTGGCCCATTGATGAGAGAACATTACGTAAAATTAAATTAAGGAAATTAAAATTTAATGGAATTGTACACTATCATTTTTACAAGCCTAATTACATCTATTTTATTATTGAAAAAGAATCTTTTAAAAAAGGGGAAAAAAAATACGTAAATGGACAACACAGAAAATAAGAGTGAATACATCCAAAAACTGGATAAAGCTCTATTTAATGTGGCGTTTTAAACATTAATCTTCCAAATAGATAAAGCTTGTCAAAGATTCAATATTATTTCTCTTCAATGAGTTACTAACTGACGAGAAGAGGGTTGGATGGCTCCAAATCCATGTCTTCCCCTCTTCTTCTTAATTTACTTGCAGCTTCATATGGCCAAAGCTTCCTTTAAATGAACCGTAATGAGGTTGTGATCTTCTAAAACTCAGGATGTCATGGATGCGAACGGACTGCAATTGAAGTGGTTCACTTTTCTCTGATTTGTATTCGGATAGATGTTTCTTCCCGTAGATTCGCACACTTAGCGTCTTCTTTTGGGGTGAACCAACTTTTATATATTCATCGAAAAAATCTATGAATTCTTGTTGTGTAAGCTGTCTTAATATTTCAACCTGTAGCTCAAAATACAAATATAGATAATAAGACACAAGCTATAACTATCAAAAGAGTGACTTATCTTAAATATCGAAATTAAAAAAATTAAAAAAAAAAGAGTTACTTACCTCTCCTTCTTTCCTATCAAACCTGAGGATGTCGCTGAAGATCTCCCCCCAGTAATAATTAGATTCTTCCCGTAAGTTTTTGTGCCTCTCCATATTCTTGTCAATCAATGCATTCACATTATTCTATACAAACAAGTTCAATAGTTATTGATTAATTTAAAACCATCAAAATTTTTAGAGAAACTGCGATGCATTAATCAAGGATTCATTTACTTGCAATTTGTTTTCTTTTTTTTTTTTTTTTTTTTTTTGCTTTAATGAACAGATAACAGTGTATGACTTCTACGAACAAACAAAAGAAAAATATGATTTTCCTTCATAGTTATGCAAAGATTTTATATGAATTGATTTTACTTTTTAAATATTAACTTAGTTTATCTCGCAATTATAAATATACCATAATTTAAGAGGAGAAACATTAAGAAATATAATAAGAACAAATGATCAAAGGTGATCACAAAATCAAAATAAGAACACATTCATATGTAATTTGGCATAAATTATACTTCTAATCATCTATATTCAGATATTTTCATAGTTATTACTTGAAAAAATTAACTAGATATTGACATGACGTAAGACTTTTAATATATCCGAAAACAAAAGGAAAACTTTTCTTTTCTGATTAGAGATATATTATTAGCTTTAAACTTATATGATGTGGGTTAAATTGTACCTTAGACCTTTGTTATGCTGGCTAAAAACATAGCACATTAATAATATTAGTAAAAAGAGAAATAATCATAATGTGCAAATGAATTACCCATCTTACCTTAAATTCATCGTTGGACATTTCATAAATTTTATTCTCAAACATCTTGAGGAATGCCTCAACTCTCAAATCAATATCTCTTGGACTCTGTTAAAAATGCTCAAACCCTTTAGAAGATGATATGTTAGGCAATTAAGTTAATTCATCTGATATATTATTTAATTAATAAAATTGAATTCTATAATAATTTTAAATTTCATTTACAGTGGATGAGGTAAATTTTTTCAATTTTCATTGTGAACTCAGAATCACTTGCATAAAAATTAGAATTGAAAAGGAAGCACATTGCATACCTTCGTTGTCGACTGAATGAGAAATTGCAGTCCAAGAATTCCTAAATTATTGCTGATTATAATGGGAGAAAATTAGTAAAACAAAAGATTTAGTTCCTTGCTTTTCAAATTGTATACTCATAGCTAAAATAACAAAAAAACTCTAAATTTTATATTTTATGTATATAAATATTTATATTTTTATTATAATCAAATAAAGTTTTGACCTTTAATTTACATCAAAATATATCTTTAACTTTTAATTTCTATTCAAATAAACCATTAATTTTTTATTTATATATAAATAAACTCTTAATATAAATCAATCATTTCTTTTGAAATACGGATTTATATGGATATAATTAAAAAATATTCATTTATTTGAGTATAATAAAAATATGTTGCTTATTTAAGAAAAGTAAAATAATTCAAGAAATTTTTTTTTAATATTTTAACTTATATTCATATATTTTTTTAAATATTATAAAATTATACACCTTTTTTCTCACTTTAGGTGCAGATAACTCTGTTACTTTTTATTGTACATTAACCTTTTATCTTTTTAACATTTTCTTTTCGATAATAATGACTATTGAACAGCACGTAAAAAAATACTCCCTTCTTAAAATGTTTGATATGTATTTATTTTCACAGAGTTTAAGAAAAAAATTTTAACTTTAATGTATTTAATATTAAAATTTATTTTTTTATAAAATTAAAATTTTATGATTTTTAATGTCAAAAAATAAAAGAAAACACACAAAATAATTTTAAATTATAAGAAAGAAAGAATTTTAGATGTTCAAAAAAAAAAATAGAACAAATTTTAGAGACATCCTAAAAAGAAAGATGAACAAAGAAAATTAAATAGAGGAAATATATACTTTTGATATAGTGAAACAAAATTTATCAAATCAATAGGGAGTATATAACATTCATGTATATAATAAGAAGTTTTTTTCTTATACCTTAAATAGAAGTTATTAATGTACCCAAGTTGCTCCACTGATCTAAGCTGATGATAGGCCGCTTCCTTTGCAATATGCTGAAAAAGCAGAATTTTTACGTTCAACACAAAATCATCTCGATGAACCTATAACAGTCAAATATTATTCACATTAGAATTGCATGAAAAAAAATCATAGAAAAATCTAACCTTATCTTAGATGTAAATGCATTTCAAAAGAGCATCACCCCAAAGTTGCTTGACAAACTCAAACATTTTAGTTCTCAAAAAAACACATATATAATTAATTACCTGAATATAATGGAGTAGGGCGGAATTCTCATTACTTGGGTTTAGGCACTCCTCTGAGTATATATAACTAATGCCTCTTTCCAGTTTAACAACTTCATTCGTGAGATGTAAGGATGGAAACCATGGCTGGCATTTAGGGTTTGAACCCTTAAAGAATATGTCTTCAGCAATTTCAATTATTGAAGTCGCTTCCTCACGTTCCATGTTTCCTAATTAAAAAGAAAAAATAATATGTAAAAAAAGAACATAAATTAATGTGATTATATCCATTTGATCAATGTTTTTACAACTTTTTTTAATTGTTTTTTTTTTACATTTTGAAAAAAACGCTATAAGCAAAAAAAGGTAAAAAGTAATACGATAGTTAATTTTAAATGGTTGGTTTATATAACAGTACAATTAATCATGCATTATTTCGTCTAAAAAAAAATACATTTTTTCAGTAAAAATCTTCAATTTTTTTCCTTTTTTGCTTTTGTATCCAAACAATGTTTTTTTTTTTTTCAGTTACAAAAAGAAAAATAGTTAAATGTCAACCAAATGAAGACTTGGTGTAGGCACATCTCTCAATTAAACCAAATGTCAACCATATTTCAGCTTATGTATCAGATAGCTAGAGTTTGAGAGATAAGAGATTATCTTGACTTGAGTTTCAGCTTTTTCTTTTTTTTTTTTTTTTTGAAAGTTGAAGAGATTTATTAATAGCAATGCGTATGCAAATTTTTAGCCTTTTACTGTTACACTTTGAGTTGTAATTTATATATAAATATATATATTTTTAATTCTTTCTGATAAAGAGGGTGCAGTTAATTTTTAGTTATGCCTTTACCTTGCTGTATTGTACCTTCATTTTTCTAGCAAAATCAGCCTTTCTGAGAATATATTCTCAAATATAAATAACTTCAGCTAGCCCATTATTAGTTATACCAAAATCTTAAAATTAAATTTCTGTATTCTTGGAATATTTTTCAAATCCAGATTTCTGTTTCTAATTCCAGTTTTTAATAAATGACTGCTTTAATTGGCTGAAAAAATAATAAGTCATGAAGTTGCTTGTAAAATTTAATTAATTTTACAGTGGTATTGGATTCCTCTATATATATATGTTGATTTTTTTTTTTATGCAAAGAAAACATAGAACGAACCTGCTATGAAACACTCCAAAAAGGTGCTTGAGAACATCATGGGAATAAATTTGACAAGGTCTTCTACTTTCAAAAGGGGTAAAACTTCAAGTTTGTCCTTCCAAGGCCATAGCATATCGTTCAATATTAATGAGGTGCAGTACTTAGCCAGCTCAAAGGGTTCTTGAAATTGTAAGTTGTAAATGTCTTTTGTTATCATTTCCTGATGATAAAGAGCAAAAAATGAAATTGTGGCAAAAAGAATTTAAAAGAGAGAGAGAGAGAGAGAGAGAGAGAGAGAGAGAGAAATATAAAACAAAAGGTTATTAATTTAACACATGGAAGGAATATACTTGACTTAATTAATATAACTCTTATATTAGATGTTTTATTAGATAGTAAGCCAATAAGTTTCCATTTTTCTTAACTTTCCCTTCCAAGGTGGAGACAAGTATAGAATTTTTTTATTAGAAATTGAATTTAATTAATATAAGCTAGAATTTGGGTTACAAAAAACATTAGAAACACAAACCCAATGGAAATTCCCAACCATGCTGGCTCCAACTAAATTTTTTTTTTCCTAAGCCAATGAAGTTTCTTGAAAGTTTAAAGAGTCAAGGAGAGAGACAAAAAATCTCTCACTTGTCCAAAATGCATCCAAAACAGAGGAGCCCCAACAACAAAATACTGAGTAATCCCCAAAAAACCAAACTTCCTAAACTAAAAAGAATAAAAGATACTACAAGATAAAGCTAGAATCCAATCAACTGATACAACTCTAACAGATAAGCTCATATAATGAAATCAGAAAAAAATATTAGCAGGTTACCACTTTATCTTGATGAAAAAAAATCAGCACTCAATGGAAAAGGATTACATCTCACCACCTTGCCAAAACCAAATCAGCTCAAGACATACCTGACTTTGCTAATATATCTGTCAGACCATTAGCTTCTCTAATTATCAGCAAAGCCAAACCAAAATCATAGAAACTCCATTTTGGAATTCCATTACACCAGTTGCATTAAAAAACGACAATAATGAGGCTGAAAGTTTGAAAATCCCGTAGCCAATGACAATTCATTAAAATGTTTTTCAGTTCTTTGTTAAGCTCCACTTTATAAAGCCATTAGGAGGTCCATATGACAAACAAGCAAACACCAATCCCACAATCATGTATAAACTTATTTCCTCAAGCCACATCTTCCTTTGCCAAAGAGCCAACCATGGCATTAGCTTCTGAAAATATGTTCTGATATAATCAATCGCCAGCCTTATTATCAACTTCCAATTCATCCATCCCCTCCACATCATTCTTTGCCAAAGAATCAACCATGCTGTCAGCTTATCCAAATACATTCTCATATAAGCAATGACACCCTTCCCATTAACAACCCGAATCACCCAAAAAAAAAGAACATTTCACAAGTAATGAAAACTGGCAGAAGCTATGATTAGCAAACAACACATACACAACACACCTCCCTGATTTATACTTATGAACATAGCAACATGGGTACCCAGATTCTTCCAAGTTGCTGCGACTTTCTTACCCCTCAAATGCTGCCTCCATGCCACCACATTCTCCCTCTCTCTCTCTCTCTCTTCCGAATAGATTTTATAAAGAACAAAATAATAGTTTTGTTACAAGTATGTCGAGCATCTTAAGAACATACACCTAGCAAATAAGAAAAAAATCAAACCAACCGTAACCTTAAAATTAAAAATTCCTTGCTCCACTGAATATCAATAATAAAAGAATAATACAAAGACTTCATCATGGGGAACAAATCAAACAAAACTTCCAAGTAAACAAGAGAACCATTCCCATTTAGCCACCAAGAATTCAAAACAGATTTTCTTGAATAATCATAAAAATAACATAACAAATTGACCACCTCCATCAAGCTCATCTTAAACCCGTCCAAAATTCCACATTTTGTTTTAATTATATAGTAGTTCTGACTATTGATATTGATGATAGATAGTATTAATTGATGATGAAAAAGATTGAGAAATAGTAAGTTAATGGCAAGCATTACCTTGATTATAGAGAACCTATCAGGTTTCACTTCAAAATTTGCGATCTTATCAATTACAATTTCCAGCAAAATGTTCACCTTGTCATTATAACCACAAAGTGTCACCTATAGAAGAAAAGCATGCTAAGTTAGGAACACAACTTATTTAATAAAGAATATAAGGAATGAGGCAGGCAGATTCTACAACCCCTGGTTATAATTTTATATATTTATGTACGTACATGTAGCAGGTATGAAATGATTATATCGCATAAATATTCTATCAATTTCTTTATTTAATCTTATTAATCTTGCTTTTTCAAAACCTTGCATATATATCAGCATAATGCCTTTTTTTTTTCAAATTATGTTATATGAACTATTCACTTTATCTTAAATGTTTGACATTTTTTGAACATATTATTCATGAAGGTATAACACTTTGATCCCCAAAATTAATATAAAAAATTTATAAAAAAAATAGTGTATCCGTGTTTGATACCATATCATGATTTCATGTAATATTGGGTTTAAAAGATTTCCTAAAAATAAATCGAGGCTCTACCAATTACCAATAGCCACTCCTATACATATTGATGCCAAATAAAAAATGAGAGGAGCATTTACCTGAAAACCTCTGTATGAGCGCCACATATAACAATCAAGGCCAGCAACTTGAGCGTAGTAAGCTGAAGGAAAGAAGATAAAACACGGCTTTTGTCAAGAACGTGGGCAGCGGAGCTTTTGAGTTTTGAGTAAAGCGCAAGAAAAAAAGGGAGGAACGGAGCAGAAAATTAATTGCGATTAACAAAGAATTAACTGCTAAGACAATTAATTTACTGTGTTCATTCAAGTAATCCCTCAACAATCGTACAAAAATGTCTGCAAGAACTTCAGCTTCAGGAGAGATTCTAGCATGGGGACAGTTGAATTCTATTTTAACAAATGCCTTAGGTAAGGAGAACATTGTATCAGGCTTGTACCACAGTTTTGAATAGGATGACTTTCTTAACAAAACTGGAAACTTGACCTGCTTGATCAAATCCAAAACTTAACTCATTATATCAAAGTAACTACTAATTAGAGTTGGAACTTGGGATCGATCGATAAAGACAATCACAGCAAACTTGATTGAAAGATTCATCAACTTACCTTTTCTCGTGCATCCTTAAGAGACAAATTTTTGGTTATGAACATATTAGCTGCTGGTAGCTGCAAATTATCAATTGGAGCTGCTGACATCCATTTCTGCAATCAAAGCAAAAGTTCCATCAAGTACCTTTTTTCTCTTGCTGAAATCAAATTAGTTGCCACTTACCATAGCCTTATAAACTAGAGACTAGAGAGTATATCAAACAAATGGACTTCTATAAAATTGTTATATAACAGTACAATGGGAAAGATCAACGGCAACCTCAATCATCGAAGTTGTGATCCTCTCAACAGAATAAGCAGTACCATACCACGGCTCAACCTTATCCGTCTCCCCTTCAAATTTCTTTGACTCCCAAAAGATTCTGCTAAAATAAAAGGGCACTTACTAGAGATAAAAGACTAACATATTTATATCTAAGACCTTTTCTTCGGATGAAGAAAAAAAATGAGGGAAGGAAAACGAAAAGAAATAACAGAAAGAATGGTTTTTTCTTCTAAATTGTTTGGTATGAAGCAAAATAATAATAAAAAATGCTGATTGAATTATAAATAATAAAATTACTATTTTATACAAAGTGATTTATACTTTATAACAAAGTTATGGGTTAACAGATTTCTCCAGTTACATTTAAGTAATAAATTAGTAAAATATTAATTAGGGTGACGAACAAGTGGGTTCAAGTTTGGTTATTTTGAATTTGAATTTTTTCTATTTTGAGCAATTTCAAATTCAAATTTTTTTGGATTTGAGTTTGCTTGGATTCAAATTATATTCAATTTTGGATTAGTTCTTGCTTTTTTATATTCTATGTTTTTCAATTGACATTGGGTTTGATAAAAGATTTTTTTTTGTTTCAGTTCATTTTAGGTTCAAACAATTTTAGATTTGATAGATTATTTTGGATTCAGAGCATTTTAGATTCAAGTTTTCTTGAGTTTTATCTTTAACTTTTTTGGTAAATCGGTAATTTGGCCAAATCAAATTAAGGTTTTTTTTTTTTTTTTTTTTCAGGTTTTAGGTTTAAGTTCATTTTGTAACTTTTGATTAATTAAAACTTAAAAACTTATATTCAAAAGCATACCGAACATTCTCTGGCGAGAACTCTCTTAGAATCATTTGCACAAGGTTAGCATTGAAATTTGAAGGCAACGATGAGCCAACCAACCAATCTTTGGAAGGATATTCCTGAGAATAGTATTTCAAAGGAATCAAACTAGCTTGTCATAAAAAATAAAAAATAAAAAACTAGCAGAGCGTTTCCAACACAAGATCCTCAATACGATAGCTCTATGCTTATTAGAACCAATCACTTTAGATTCTCCAGAAATATTCTACAACAAACACTACCTATGGACCCTAGGATAGACTGAAGTATAGAAGTTTTAGAAGAAAATTGTATCAAAATTCCTTACAGTAAAACCAATTACTATAAAATAAGGGAATATATAAAAGGAATTACCTGCATTCTTGACGCGATTTCCTTAACATAATCAATAGGTCGGATTTTGTCTTGATGGTGAAAGTTTACCTCACAAATAGTTGAAAACTTCATACAAAAATAAAAATGTCTTACACAACTCTTCGACAAATAGAACTAGCAAGATAGAGTTCTTCCAACATCTCCAGCTTCATTGTTGTTCAAATTCAAGCATAGCTAGCTATGAAGACAGAATTAATAAACATTAAATTAAGCTTTAGGTCGAATTCTCAATATTGAAATCCGTCAATTTTTCTAACAAATGCATGAAGCGCCTAGCTCAAAGTTGATCATAACATCTCACATTGCAAAAAAGTATTTTTCAAACAATTTCAATGCATACTTTTTTTTTTGGTTAAAAATATTGTTCAACAGTTATTATAAGAACAATTTGAATGCATAATTTTCTTATTAAAGCTTTTTAATAAGAAAAAATTTTGAGTACTTTAATACATTTTATACTAAAATTTTAAAATTTACATAATATATTGAGGTTTAGTGGGTTTTAATGTCAAAAAGTAAAAAAAAAAATGAAAAAGTTAATATGAGTGCTAAGTATGAAATTAAAAGAAAAAATTTAGGGTGAATTTTTTTCAATAGAAAAGGAAACTCATTCACACAATAATATATCTGGATGAGATCACAAAATTCGATGTTGAGAAGCATTAAATGATGGTATTTAAGTACATAATTCACCTAATGCTTTTCTACATTTAATCTAATCATATATGGTGAAACTTAAACATAAGATTTCAATGTAAATATCACATTTATAATTAATTCTTTCATGAGAGACTTTATCCATTAGCATACGTACAAACCAGCATGATTCTACTTTTTTGTTGGAAGGCAACTTAAACAAATATCCAACAGCGAATAGCAAGAATTCAGGGCATATCACAATGATAAGAAAAGTGAAAACCATGATGGATAGCTAGATCATCATTAAAATTGTCAATACTATACCTCAATTCAGCCTATTTACAGCTACAATTTATTTTTACGTTCTTAGTGCTCATACATAGTAACATACCTCCTCAAATACCTTTTTGCAAATACCAGACTCCCTCAAAAATTTGATGTATTTAAAGAGCAACCCTATAATCTCCTGCATATGCTCTGAAAATTCAATCAGGGAAAGCTATATCAATGATGAAACCAAAGAAATCTATGTTAAAAGACATACATAATGGATTCTTACATTAACCATGTAATATAATATAATATGATATGATATGATATTATCTTGTTTCTAAGGAAGGATCTCTTCTTGTTTTCCTTAAAACCTCCTTTCGAACCTTGCACCCTCCACCTGTTTGATTTTTTTCCCCAAAAATTAGCCTCTTGTCTCCTTTGCCCGCAACATCCTCACTGTTAGTGTGATATTATCTCACATTAAATAAATATCTAATTTTTTTATAGTTTTATATTCAAATTAAGCCCCTCCACTTACAGCCAATTAGTTTTAAGTTGGAAGCTTAACATGATATCAGAGCCATGATTTCCTTCTATTGCCCTTTTTAAATCCGTCACATGATAAGCTTCTTCGATCTCCCTCTGCACATGATGAGGGCCTGTTAGTGTGGTATTATCATACGTCAAATAAATATCTAATTTCCTGTAGTCTTACATTAAAGTTGGATCCCTCCACTTATAGCTAATTAGTTTTAAGTTTGATGCTTAATACTCACACCTGCAAACCCATATCCTTTCACTTTACAGTCCCTAACTGCTTAGCAAAATACATCCTTCAGAACCTAGCACCCTCCTCTTGCTTTATAAAATTCTCCAAAGAATCGTATTTTGTCTCTATTACTCGCTATAGGCTCACACCTATGCGCCTCTTCCCTTTCATTTTCCATTCTTTACCTGCTTGACCATTATTTAGTATTCTACCACTTTTGATGTTGAGAGCTGAGTATAGGAGGGCTGATTTTGGTCCAACTTTCTCCAATCAAGATATGTGTTAACTTGGAGGTGCTATCTAAGAAGGAAACATGGATAAGTTTGGACAACAGTTTGTAAGCCAGAGAGAGCAGCAACATCAACAATCCAATGCAAATTGCCATGGTGAAGGTATACTAGCACCTTTTCATTTCACAAAACTTCCCTAATTCTTGGTTCACTACTCATTTTTTGGAAATTGTTCAAGTGGTACGGTGACATTAGCAATGTGTACATTCCTACTAAAAGAAATATTCGAAGGCAAAGATATGGGTTTGTCAGTTTTAGGAATGTGAAGGATATTGAGCAGTTACTTGTAGTGTTGAATGGTATATGGATTGGTAATTTTAAACTTGGATTTTTCAAAGCAAAAGGAATATCTAGTGGCTCAAAACTAGTTCAATATGCAAGGACTGCCAAGATTAGAGAACATGGTAGTAGGTCTGAAGCTCCTTTCAACAATTGTAAATCTTAAGCAAAGGCAATTAAAGGTATTTGGCAAGAAAATGTAATGGATTCTAGCTGCCATAAAGGGAGTTTATTGAAACCTAGAATATAGAAATTAGATGATTTTTGCATGATTGTGGGGGATAAAGTTAACAAGAGCGCATTTTCTATTTCTTATAGAGCTACATATAATCATCTACAAGTTTTTTTAGACAAATGGTCTTTAGTTATCAAAATCAATCTAGAAAAGATACTAAAAGCCTATGGCTTAGAGAATTCACTGGGGAGCACGCAGAACAGTGAAAAGGAGCTGTCACATGAGAATCACTCAGTATAGTTGGCTAGCCATGACCAGGCTAAGGAGTTAGAGGATGAACCAGTACAAGCTTGTCCTTCGATGGTGATAAAACATTCTTTAAGTGAGGCGGGGTCTTCAAATATTCTTAATACTGATTCAATGAAAGTAAATAATTAGAGCCTTGACCTTATGGTGAATAGTGGAGGATTTATCTGCTGTAAATATACTGAAAGTAGCTATGATGATTGTGATGTGGTTCCAAATTCTTGTGAATTAGCAGGAGAGTCGAACAATATTGGTGGTTGTCTAAAAATAGTCGAATTTGGTAATGGTGAGGTGGTAATCAAGGACAAGCAGTTAGTAGAAGATTGGTTGAGCTCAAATTCCATGAATTTAGGTGAGGAAGTAGAAAAGGAGAAAAATGAGGTATCAATCCAAAATGTTGAGGGTGATTTCAAAAAGAAACATGAAGAGTATAATGTTGATGGTGATAATATTGTAGACCATGTTGAACACTCAAGTAGGAAGAAACTAAATGTCACAAAATCAAGAAAGAGAAATGAAAAAAACTACAAATGGAGTAGGAAGAAAATTTCAAAGATCCCCTTACGCATTCATGACCCCCTAGTGATTCATGAAGAAGATAATAATATTTCAGATAATAATATTAGACAGGTAAATTCTTCACTCAGAGATAAGGCTATCAAAACTTGAGAGATTAACAAACGTCTTGGGCTTTCGTTTCACGGATATGAAGAAATTATTTTTTGAAAAGCTAATGGAATGAAAGGACCTAGATGATGATACAAGCAGTTAGTGTTCGATTGATGCCTCATGCTAGGTTTGTCTCTTATGATGGTGTGGTTGATTCTTTCATTGGCTGGCTGCTACTTGCTTTCTATCTATTCAATGTTTAGTATCTCATATTCTACTCCAATACTCAAGTGTGGTGGGCTTCTCATAGTTGGTTTTAGTTAGGATTTCGTGTTTGTGTATCTTAATCACTTTTAGTCTTCCTTGAAAGCTAGGTGGGTGTTTCTTTTTTGCTTTAATTTTAGGTGATCTTTATTGCTCAATTTCGTTTGCATTGGCACTTGGGTTTTTATCTTTGCTAGTCTTGACTAGCTTTGTAACCTTATGGTTTTGAAATAAATTTTGGCTTAACAAAAAAAAAAATTTAATATGATATAATATAATATGACCAGGATCCTTAGTACAAATCAAATAAATATATATACTAACCATGACCATCTTCAGTAAGATCAACTGTTACTGTAAAGAAAGAAAACTCTAATGTGATCTCATCTTCAAAAGCCGACAATCCCGTAGCCCATCCTGCGAAATTTTTGTACATACACATAATTTAGTGACATGTTTATTCAACGATGTCATTAATAAGATAATTTTATTTCGAAGTTTTTTGTTATACCAAATATATAAAGAGACTTTCTCACCTATGATAATTGGCACCTTTTTCAGGGCCTTCTATTCATAGAATAAAAAAAATGATAGAAACTATTAAAAAACATTTGGTTCAAGGAATCTAGTATTTTGGAAGGGAATGTAATTCTCCTTTAAATATTTTATTTGACTGATTCCAAAGGATATTACATTTATCTGTTTGGAGTTGCCATTAGACCTACTTATGGGTCGAGTTGTCCGCCTGAACTCGAAAGTCTATCTGAAATTTAAATGAGTTTGAACATAAATATTAAACCCGTTAAAAAGATCTGGACAAATAAATAAGACCTAATCAAAAAAATAAAGTCAAGCTTAGGTTTCACCATTTAAGGCATAAGCCCGACATAGCGCGACCTAAAAATTAAAAAAATATTTTTATTATGATGGGATAAGGTCTATTTGTTTTATTTTTTATAATGGACAAGTCTCATTTATTTTATTACTTATAATAGGATAAAGCTTAATTTTTTCTTCATGCAAAACATTAAAACAATGATTCAATTTTAAATTACATTCAAAAAAATTAAATTGGATCTAAATCCAAATGACTCATAAATTCAATTAAAATTAATTAAATTAGTTAAATTAATAATTTACAAAAAAATGAAAAAAATTTACTTTTCTTAATTTTAAATACTAGTACTTTGGACAGATTTTGACTTTATTATTATATTTAAGAAAGGGCTTGGACAAATTGTGCTTGCTTAAAATGCTAAATACCACATTAAGTCCGACCCGACCCATGAACAGTCCTAGCTGCTATGTTTTAGTAAGTGAATGTAAAATTATCTAATCACATCTTTTACTATATTGCCTTTAGTTATATTATTAGTTGAAGTTTGTATATGTATTTTCTTAAGCTGCGTAGAGCATAATTACTATTCTAACTTTAATTATTCTTATGCAAAGTAAATATAAGAATCGAAATTTGCCATAAGATCAACATAAGGTTGAAAGGTGTGGCAAATTATTTTTGGTTTTATTGCACGTATAATATGTAAATTATTTATTTATTTAACATATAAATTATGAAAATATATTATAATTATTTTCATAACATATTTTTATAATAGACAATTTTTCATATAAAAACGTGATTTACATACAAATAGTAAAATTTTGAAAAATAATTATTTTCATAACAGATTATGTTTTTTATTTCAAAAATGCAGTTTATGTTGATTCTACTCAAGTCCTAAGAATAACATTTTTTTGTCTTTATCTCATAATATATTTTGATACAAATTATGTTTTTAAGATAAAAAAACGTAGTTTAGTTGAAACTATAAAATTTTTAAAATAAAATTTCTCATAATATCTTTTCGCTATCAAAAAGTCTTTGTTGAAACTATAAAACTTGTGTATAGGATTGGATCTCGGTTAATCATTTAATTTCTTTGATATTGAAGAGTCAAATAAATCTTAAAAACCATTTCTTTGGGGCAAAATATGGACAAAATTTAGATTCCAGAAGAAATGCTAAAAAACTTTAGGAAGATGAGAGTTTTAGATTCTCCTATTCTTCCCTCTTTGATATTGTTGGGAATTCAACAATTCTGCACTCCATGAACAACACCCTAAACCAAAGGAATTGGATTATGAGAAGTAAAATTTTAGAAGAGAAAATTAGATTTTGCTAACCAACACCCCTAAGATGATTTTTTAGGCATTAGCTACAGTTTAATGAATTCATACATCAAATACCCATACATCAAAATATTCCCACTAATATGGTTAATTTCGTTTTGGTACCAGTGATACCAACTGGTATGTTTTAGTTACAAAAAAAAAAGTATACTTAAGGGTGGTTTTTAGTACCAGACTTCATATCAAGTAATACTAGTTATTTTCATTGGTTTTAACTGATTTTAGTGAATTTTGGTGGATTAACTTATTTTAGTCTGTACGTAATTGTGAAACATGTTTTATAATTTTTAACTTATCTTTTGTTATTTGATTATGTTTAACCTAACAAAAATTAAAAAAAAAATCGACAAAATAACCTTTGAGTTTCTCTAAAGTATAATAATCCTGAAGCCAAAGTTAATTTCTTTTTCAAGTATTTGTTTTTATCTTAATAAATTTTTACATGAAAAAAGAAAAATATTCATTTCAATATCATATAATCAAATTAAGTATTTAAAAAATCACGATTTATGAAAATATTATATAGATTATTAGCAGCAATATTATGTATAAGTTTATATATATTTATAAATATATTTGTATTAAATCAAAAAATTCAAAATAATATACCAAAACAACTTAAATATCTTTTGATCATACAACGCCTAAAATACTTATATGTTTAGAAAGAAAACATTTGATAGGATTCTAACATGACTCATCTCAAGTCTTAGCAAAGGTATGCTAAAAAATGTTAAACATACTTAAGCATACTGTTTTTTTGTTTTTGTTTTTGTTTTTTTCTCTTTTTTGAATGGACGCAGCAAACTTACCTCGTGTTTTCAAGATGTAATACACGGATCCTTCTCCTTTATGGCCAATGACATGGCCCAGATACTTGCATGGCCCTTCCTTGTAATGATGCCTGCTTGTGGTTATTGGCCATTCAATTATCAATTTGTGCCTTTCTGCTATTGGAACAAGCTTGACAAGAATCTGAAATCAAATTAAAAGCGAAAAGCAGCACGAAATTATTTAACTTTTCAACCAATAATATTATTAAGGTGCTTTCATTTAAGATAATTTCTACAATTTAATGTCAGTTATTTTCTGTGTAAATTTCGTATATGGTTCTCAGCCTTTTATTTTGTTTTAATATTAGTTTCTAATTTTTTTTAGTTTCACTTTAATTCCCATTTTTTAAATTATTCCGTTTGAATTCCGAATTTTTCAAAATGATTTCATTTTGATTATTTTATGAAGCTATTCCGTTAAAATTGGTGTCATATCCATTCATATTAATCATTTTAACTAAATAATCTTAAAAAAGAATCAAAACAAAAGGTTGAAAAGTTATGGATCCAAAAGGAATAATTTGTCATATACACACGGCACATCACAACATTGATCTCTTGGCATTTTATGTTAATATTTTTTCTCAACTATTAACATAATAATATAATGAAAAAAATCACAATGGAATAATTTAAAATGTCATGAATGCAAATAAAACAATTCGAAAATTAAAAACTAAAATAAAACTAGAATAAAATGGTTAATGGATCATGTATGAAATTTACCTGTTATTTTGTTAAATTTAAAATCAAAAGATTTTAAAAATAAAAAAAATTATAAATAAATATTTATTGATATTGGTTACTATCATTATGATTATAGAAATTATTGTTAGTGCAACATGCTGATTTTCATTTTACCATTCGATGTTCTGACATGATGGGCAAACCGGTAATGTGGAAACCATGTTGGTTGGAGTTTCGAATGTCTTGGAACTTGTTCTCCACGGAGCTTTGTATTTTATCAAGGCTTTCTACAAATTCATAACAAAGAATTAATCTTATTGAAAATTTAAGCAATCAACCATTTAAACTATAAGTCCTTTTTGAGAAAAAAAATTATTATAAGTCTTTCTGAGTATTGTGGTAAGAGAATAGCAAAATAAAACTCTATATGGCAATTTAGACTTTAGTGGCTGATCTTTTCTTACTTCTTTTTACTTTGAGACAAAAACAAAATTAAAAAAAATGCATTTGGATGAGAAAATAATAGTTTTTGGGGAGATTAAAACAACAAACATTTAACTTTTTATAGATAATAAAATGAATTTTAGCGAGAAAGAAAAAAGCAATGTAATAAAATGCATGGCTTTACTTCTATATGATATTTTTAAATTTGGTTGTGAGGGACAACTCAATAGTTAAAATTTGAGATTTCATATAAATGGCATTGAGTTTGAATATCTAAAATGGTTGGGATGAGATTATGAGATGTGAAAATCGGCTTCTTACAGTAGCCTAATATCACATATACTAAACAAGAAACAGTTATATATGAAACATTATTTATTTTTATTGAATGCTCATTTTTAATTAAGTATATATATATATTATATTCTTAATTTTACCATACAACTGTTCAAAATGCATGAAACAAATTTTACTCTATATGATTGATGCTTTTACTTTTTTTCTTCTTTTTTTTCTTTTTTTTGCATGGAAACATTTAAAACCATGTTTGAAAACAAAACGCTTCTAACCTTTTGTATATGCAACCAAATGCATAAGGTTGGCAGAATAATTTTCTTCATAGAACTTTAAGAGCTCATGTCTTATATCCAGTCCTTTTGCTTTTGGTCTAACTTCCAACGTATGCCAATTCCCTACACATTAGCAAATAGCAAGTTAAGTACATATCAATTATATATTAAAGTTGCTCTTGAAATATAAGTATTCACATAACCTTTAACTCATAAGAATTTTTTGTAAAATAAATTTGTGAGATTTAATGAGTTGAAGTGGATAATATCTCACAAATTGATATGAATCATGACATACAACATGTGCACACAATATATATATATATATATATATATATATATATAACAAAGAGAAATGGGAGGAGAGGGCTAGTGGAGATAAAAGTAAAAAAGTAAAAATTAGAGATGTCAATTTTGTCAATATCTAATAAAAATTTTAATTTTTTATTTCGAATGAGGATGGAGATGAAAATGGGTGTTACATTATGAGTATGGAATGAGTACGGGGATGGGAATAGAGATAAGTATGATTTTAAATTTTTATTAGATATGAGATGGAGATGGATAATATAGCGCTAACCTTATACCTTTATCTTATATATATTTAGTATATAGATTTTTTATTAAATAATATAAATTATTATTTTAGATTAATTAAAATTAATATAGTTTTATTTAAAAATATATATATTAATAAAAAAATTACCTAGTTATATAAGATAAAAATAATAAAAGCTAAAATAAATTTTTTGTTTTTTGTTTTTTTTTTTAAACAATGGGTATGAAGATTACTCATATATATTAAATATCCGTGAAAATAAAAATAAAGATAAATTTAAAATACTCATTAAATATGAATATAAAGATGAATATAAAATAAAAATCTAGAAATAGAGATGAAAAATGCTTTATCCTATTCATATCTTACCTATTGATATCTCTAGTAAAGATAGAGTTGCATAGATTTTACCTGTTCCAAATTTATGATTAGGATGACTTTCCGTACTGAAATGCTTCTGAAGCTGCTTAGAGAAAAAGAAGTTATTCAAAAATTATGAATAAATTTATATGAAAAATTATAAATATGCGACAATATAAAAATAAATTGTGAAATTAAAGAACTTCATCGATTGCCTATAAAAAAAAAAAAAAAACTCAAAGTCAACTGCATTTCATTATAACCACTGCTTTTGGAAGTAAAAAATTGTAAAAATTGCCTTTAAATTAAAGGTGATCCTTTTTTTTTTTTTTGGGACAATTAAAAAGATTGATCTTTGATAAGCCAAAAAAGGGGTTTTTTTTTTATATAAATTATTTAAATGAAATATGAAAGGATAACAATGCTTTGAATATGATTCGTTCCAATTTTACTCTCTATTTTAAATTAAATGTCCACATTAAAGTTGAAATGCAATTTAAGGGAAAAAAAATCAGTTATAGTGGGTTTTATATATGATAAATTACAAAATAAAATTCTATGGTTTGAACGGAAATTTACTTCAAATAGTTTAAATTTAATACATTATTGCTTTGTGCATTTTTCAATTAGTTTAATACTAACACCGTTAACTCATTTTTCATTTTGTTCAACTGGTGCCCTTTTTTTCCCTTATTCCTTGAAATCATTTTTTTTCACCAATCTCCTACACTCGTGTCTAATTATTATTCATCATTCAACAAAGTCCTACACCAACCATGTGCTTTCTTTTCTTTTTTCTTTTTAATCCTTTAAGTTGTTTTCCTCTTTCAATATGTCTTAATTCCTTAACTAAACCCATTTTCCCCATCACTCCAAATGTCAAAATATATTCCAATTCTGTGATATAGTTTCATAGATGATGCAATGGCATGGGTTTCTCACTTTTGTGTTGGAATATTTTTAAAAAGTGAAAGAAGTTTCACAGTGAATACAATGACATGGATTTCTCACCTTTGTGTTGGCATTTTTTTTTTTAAATAAAGCGAAAGAAGTTTCAACTGACAAATAGTTCAATGACATGAGTTTCTCACTTTTGTGTTGAAATATTTTTAAAATAAAATAAAAAAGGAGAAATTTACAACCACTAGTTTTGCTTTAAAAGCATTTAAACCTTTTTAAAAGGTCATCTTTTGACTTCTATGGAGGTTTAGAACATATGTCCTTAATAAGTTCAAAAAACAAAAAACAAAAAAAGGATAATTGGTTCGTTAATTACCACCACTTTTGAAAAGACTTATTTCTTGGATGCAGATCGTTCCAAAACACATCAAACCATCTTCAATACAGTCCTCTCTTTTATTAAAAAAGATAAAAAGTTTAAGTCACTTATGCAATTTTTTACTACAAAAGCCTTGTGTAAGAAAGATATTTTCATTTGTCAACATCAAAAGTGTTTAGTGACTTCGATTTTATTAGCGCAAATTAGTGTCAAACATATATTTTATTATATCTTAAAACTATTCGATTTACCACTTTATATACCGATATTGATGAGCAAAATAAGCCTATTAAGGTTTAATCCCAATGTTTGCAAATTCTTCTTTTTCAAATTTTCTTAAGTTTTGTCCTCCTTAATAGAGAAAAATGAATCTAACAATGTGTTTGGATAGATATTAATTAAAAAAAAGGAAGGTAAAGTTTTTTTAAATATTTTTTTTTTGTTTGGGTAATTAAAATTAAGAAAAGAAAGAGAAAAAAATCCTAACAACCAATCATTGATTAAAAAGTAAATATAAAAATGTTATTTACATTTAAAAAATTTTCACCCCTTTCCTTTCCTTAGCTTTTCATCCAATTTAAGATAATTGAAAAATGAAAGGTGCTCAATTTCTTCCTTTCCTTTATTTCAATTTAAATAATATTGAAACAAGAAAAAAGTTTCCCATTTTTCTCTTTTCTTTCCTTTCCCTCTTCTGCCTTCAATCTAAATATGGTATAGAAGAAAATAGCATTCGCAATATGCTTTGAAACCATTTCTCTCTTCCTTAATTTGGTTCTTACACCCATTAAAAACAACAAATTTCTCTTTGAACCCTAATCTTTGGTCACACAAATCTCAAGACTCAAACTTTCTACCTCAATTCAATAACCTAAGTTCCATGTTCACTTACGAATTCTTCTACTTGTTAATCTTGTGAAAATTTTCTTTTCCTTTTTTACGAGTGCTTTGTTTTGTTTTAGAGCTTCATTTTAATTTATTGCATGGTACTATGAACCAAAATTTATTAGCTTTTGTACTTCATCGATACTCTATTTTGTCTAGCACCCTGTTAGCTCGCCACCCCGACACGGTTGGATCTTAATAAGAATTTTCAAGCCCCGACCTAGTTAGGTCTAAGTCATTATTTAATTATAAAAATATTTTTATTTAATTTTAAAATATATTTAAAAATATTAATATAATAATATAAAAATATTTATATATTATTTTAATAATTTTTGCAATAGTAGTAGGCCTAAATGGATGGACCCAAGTGGACCAAACTCGAAAACAAACTTAGCATTTAGAGGACCCAATGACCCCATCCAACGCATATACACCTAATTTTCACATTAGCAATGTTTATCCAATACTAGAGAAAGTATTGTACATGATAGTTAAGTGTCAAAATTTAAATTTTAAAGATAAATTTATTTTGCCTTTTTTATATGAAAATTTTTAATTTATTCGGTTCATAAGAAATTAAGAGCATCTCTTTTTGTCTTCTTAAAAATTAAAAAAAAATATGTTCACAAAGCAACCTTAAACTTTTAATATGTTAGTGTTCTTTTTAATGAAATAATTCACTCATTTAATTATAGTTTCCATAAATAAAGTAACTGCTTAAACACAAAACTATAAAACAGCGGGATAAAAGAAAAACATAAAATCAAGGGATTTAGGTAAACCTTTTTAAGTAGAGTTCTTAAAGAAAACGGGTTAAATGAAAACTCAATCAAATTGAGAATTAAAATTGATATATTGATATAATTTATTGGATAAATTATGTATAAAAACATACATTAGAGGTGCCCATTGGTTAAATCAAGCCTACTTGGTCTTCCTTTTGAGAAGCCAAGTTCCAGTGCAACTTGATCAATTCATTTGTATTATCATTTTATTATTAAAAATGATAAAATATTATTTAATATTATAAAACATACTTTAAAATTAAATTAAAATATATTATTTACTAATAAATAATTTAATTGAAACGGTTTGAAATTGGTTTAGGTTGGCATGTCTACGAGAAATTTGCCTTACTAATGAAAGATGAGCCTTATTTTCTATGATGTTAAGTTTATATTGAATTTTATGATATTCGACTTACAAATAAATGACAATAAAGATGTTGGGATTTGCCTTGAATCTCATAATCCCACATCGAAAGTTAATGAGTTTTGAATTTGTCCAGTATCCCACATCAAGAGTTTAGTAAAAGTATAAGGGATTTCACCCTTATAAATAAGGTATTTTATTTTTAGTTTGGTAATCCCAGAGAGTTAGACACCAAGAGAATAGCTAAGTGAGTAGGCTATTAAAATGATGTAATTGAGTTTTGGGTTAAGTTTTGAGTAAAGAGTTTTAGGAGACTTTTCTCATTTTAAAAGTCTCACAATTGTAAAGATTTATTTGATAGTGGATTAGGTTTTGAATAGGTCATTTTGAGTTGGGCCAAACCAAATATATTTGTGTTCTTATTCTTGATTTGAGCTTGCTATTTTGTGTGTGGGTTCTGCGTGTGGGTGTTGATTTTCCCAACAAGTGGTATCAGAGCGAGGTTCGAGGTTTAAGGTTCGTGGACCTAAGAGATCGTGAAGCAGTGTTTGAAGATGTCTGAAGAAGGTATGTCTAGTATGCCTATGCCTAAGTTTGAGATTTTGTTATTTGATAGAAAGAGTAATTTTATGTTATGGCAAAATACGGTTCAAGATCTGTTAGTACAACAAAGATTAGATCAGGCATTGTTCGACTCCTGGTCCTGGGGTTACAGAGTAAGGATTCACAGCATAGGTTCATATTAAGTAAGAACAGTCAAGCAAAGCAAGAGAGGCGCGGTGTCATTATGTTAATAAAAAATGGCTCGGTGGTATGTTAACAAATTGGCCCACTACAGAAACAAGGCTTCGTAAGTTCAGGGACTTGAGAACAGAACAAAAGACGGGGAGACTCAATCGTCTTCCGAAAAGAGATGCAGCTATGTTGAAGAGACAATTATCTCGCTTTCAAACATATCTGGGCGGGATTAAATATATGACGGGATTGCCTGATATTGTAATCATCGTTGATCAGCAAGAAGAATATACGGCTCTTCGAGAATGTATCACTTTGGGAATTCCAACAATTTGTTTAATCGATACAAATTGTGATCCCGATCTCGCAGATCTTTCGATTCCAGCAAATGATGACGCTATAGCTTCAATTCGATTAATTCTTAACAAATTAGTAGAGAATAGTAAGCTTGAAGGAATATCTAACGCTAATTGAAGTATGATTCAAAATAAAGCTGTTAGTACTATTAGATTGGTGCTAGCTCCAAAGGTAAAATACAATGTGTTGACTGAGAGTACTCCAAAGAGTTTATGGGATAAGCTTGAAGGTATTTATGCTTTGAGGTCATTGACTAATAGATTATGTTTGAAGATGGATCTGTATTCTCTGAAGATGGAAGAAGGTATGAGTCTTCATAATCACCTGAATGAGTGTAATAGATTGGTTTCTCAATTACTAGCGATTTCTATTGATAAGTTAAAAGATGAAGAGAAAGCTTTAATTTTGCTGTCATCTTTGCTCAAGTCTTACATGCCTTTAGTTCAGATTGTGTTGGTGGGCAGGTTTACTTTGAAGGTGGATGATGTGACTGCCCTGTTGCGTGAGAATAGAAGATTTATGAGAGCTCAAAACTCATCACCTGGGGGTAGTACACTAACTGTAGAGGGTTTTGATCGATGGAGGACTCAAAAGAGAATTGATGGATCAAGAGGAAAATCCAAGTCAAGAGACAGAGATTACAGTGATAAAGAATGTTATTATTGTAGCGAAAAATGACATATCCAAGTGCACTGCAGGAAGTTGAGAAGGGATACGGTTGCTTTTAAAATGGCGAATGATGAGAAAAAATCAGATGAAGAAAAGAGTAATACTGCTACTATCGTGTCTGATGATGATGATGTTGTTTTGACAATTTGTGTTGATGAGACTCAGACTTTGAAAAGTGATGAAGGTTAGGTTTTAGATTTAGCTGCTACAGTTCATGTTTGCAATGATAAAAGTTGCTTTGTGGAGTTGGATGAGAATAAAAAGTATGGGGATATTGTGGTTGCTAACAAAGAAAGGTGCAGATTCAAGGCATTGAGAATGTTCGCTTTAGATCTCACAATAGTGTTATTAGGACACTTCGTCATGTAAGGTATGTACCGAGTTATAGCTACAATTTAATTGCTTTGAGTGAGTTAGCTTCTCGGGGATACACATATTATGGTAGTAATGATTGGTTGAATGTGTATAAGAATGATAGTGTGATTCTACAAGGGAATAAGGTCAAAAATCATTTGTACATACTTGATGAACGCTCAATTGTTGGGATCCCTATGATGAAAGAAAAGAAGAAAGGTAAACGTGTTAGCTTTGCAGATACTGTTGAAGTGTTTGAAGATTCAAGTCAATGAAAGATTTGTTGGGATTTCCCTTGAATTTCATAATCCCACATCGAAAGTTAGTGAGTTTTGAATTTGTCCAATATCCCACATCGGGAGTTTAGTAAAAGTATAAGGGGTTTCACCCTTATAAATAAGGTATTTTGTTTTTAGTTTGATAAATCCCAAAGAGTTAGACACCAAGAGAATAGCTAAATGAGTAGGCTATTAAAAGGGTGTAATTGAATTTTAGATTAAATTTTGAGTAAGGAGTTTTAGGAGATTTTTTTCATTCTAAAAATCTTAGCTAAGTGAGTAAGTTATTAAAATGGTGTAATTGAATTTTGGGTTAAATTTTGAGTAAGGAGTTTTATGAGACTTTTCTCATTCTAAAAATCTGACAATTGTAAAAATTTATTTGATAGTGGATTAGGTTTTGAATAGGTCATTTTGAATTGGGTCGAACCAAATATATTTGTGTTCTTATTCTTAATTTGAACTTACTATTTTGTGTGTAGGTTCTGCGTGTGGGTGTTGATTTTCCCAACAAAAGAGAGATTTTTATTATGTTTAAAATTTCAAAACATTCCAAATTTAACCAAAGTAAGATTTATTTTATCACCAACTTCAACAAATCTAGACAATGGAATCTAAGATGCTATAAACGAACAAAAAAAAAATCAGTGTAGCATTAATTTTGAATTATTATATTGACATTCAGCATTTATTCTTTAATTGATGGCAACAAATTATTCAAGAACAAAGTAAAATTGATACCTGATACACTCTCCACCAGTCAGACAATAACTCATTTTGGTATACTAGAGAGAGAGAGAGAGAGAGAGAGAGATGAGTTATGGTCCAAAATACTAGCTAGAAAGCATTGTATTAAACCAAAAACGAAGAGCAAAAGAGATGATCACCAGAATCAATAGTTTTAATTACCCTCATGGTAGCTTCAGCTGGCATCAATGGTTTGATGAAGATCTGGGAAAACCTGATTAATATTTTACCAAAAAGAAAACGCTGAATAGTATAATAAATGAACATTTGATGAAAATAACACCTATGAAAACTAAAAAAAAAAAAAACAACAACAACACATACCGTTCCAAAGCTTCTTCAAAACAGTCATTGTTGGTGTCAAAATAATAGCTGGTCCGATCATTATACACGGAGCTATCTGTGTACCCTCCATTCTAAATAACAGAAAAAATAAACTAAGTTTAAATCTAAGAAGAGTATTGTAAGTTAATCTATTTCAATTTTTTTGTACAAGTTAGAATTTGGACCATTAACATAAAATAAATAGTAAGAGTCATGTTCTTATACCTTCATTTTATTCCCATTGTTTAATCCTATAGACTAAAGACACAATGGAAGAGAATTAGGTTACGTTTTGTTATGACTTTTATTACTTGCATTTTACTTTCCAAAAAAAAATGTATTTAGATATGACTTATTTGAACGAAAAACATTAATATGTATGTTTGATTGTATATAAAAAGAAAAAATGTAAATGATTTTGTGTAACAAAAAACATGATTTTTTTTATATAGACTAATTATGTTATAATTGATATCATGTCTATATTTTTTATGTTTAATATAATTTTTCTTTTTATTTTTTTTTTAACTTTATGATAAAGAGCAAGAAACATAACCAAATGAAAATTATTTATTATCTTTTTTTATGTTTATTAAGATAACCGACGATCATTGACTCATATAGCATAAACTAAGACGGCAAGTACCTCGACAACATTATAATTTGACTACAACAATAACATCTAGAGGACCATCGTACGTTTATGATGAATAGTACCTCGCTGATGTACTTTGAGAAACTATCCTCCGAAGGATATTTTTCACTAGCATATGGCAGCACGTGCACTGCAAATACAACAATACAGAAAGAAACATATTCAGTAGAAAAGAAAATTATTCAATTGCTCAAATAAAGTCATAATACTCCCTCTCATACCAAAAAAAAAAAAAATTTCAAAATCAAATCAAATTTGACCATGAAAGTATAGCATAAACCTAAGTAATACCCACATAGGTTAAGTTTACTATATTTATTATTTATAGATAAATTTATAATTAACCCATGTTTTACAAAACTTGGGTTTGATCTTGTGTCATAGTCTCTATTTAGCCAATATTAGAGTATAAGATTTGAATCCTCTTCTCCTTAAATAGAACTTCTGGTATGATAAAAAGTAGGTTGTGCTTTTCCAAGCTTTATTATTATTATTATTATACAATCTATAATTTATAAAGTAAATATGAATCCTAAGGGCATAGATAATTATTAAATTGTCTTTTTATAAGGTTTTTAAGCGTATTTTAAGGATTAAAAATACAAGAAAAGTACCAAAATTTTCTTTCTTAAGTGTTAGTGACTCACATTTCTTACCCAAAACCTATAATCCCTTGTGAAAGAGAAGCCTTTAATTTTATGATGTGGGATCCATCAGATTCTCTCCAACCTAATCGTGTAACGCCATCCAAGCTTATCTCGATACTAGTATCTCTCACTAGAGTTTCACATCATGTAAGCTCTTATACTAAGGGAAAGCATCCAATTGATTCGATGTTAAAAATTCAAAAAAACCGAAAACTATTCTGACCTTACAACTTGGGTGTAATTTTAGCAGCTGTTGTCTCAATAAAATTTTCTTCAACTTAAAAAATAAATAAATAAATAAACTGAAAACAACGAACTCGAACTAGGAATTGACAATAACCAAAACTGAACTAAGTTGATAGGTTTGGTTGATTTCATAGTTTGAACAATTTTTTAATATTTTTCAACAATCTCTTTTAACAATTTCTGATAACTCAAACTTCAAACACAATCACAAATTTTCATTAACAAATTTCAAGTGCATCAATGTATTTATGAATGAATAATGAAACAATTAAAAAAAAAAAAAGGTCAAGATATTTTCTGGGTTTAGCATTGTATTAATTAGAGATTTAGATGGGTATGTACATATTTTCCATTTGCTTTAAAATTATAAATAAAAATAAATATCTTTATTCTATATTTTATATGAAATAATATATTTTAAATATATGAAATACTATAATTAATATCGGTTAATTCAGTCAGTTTAATTTAAAAGTGTAAACGAATAGAATGGTGAATAGTTCAGGTTCTATTTTTATTTATTTATCAATTTTAACATAAAATCATGAACAACATTTCATGATTAATTAATTAAACAAACATATAAAAAACATAGCAAATTTTGTTCATATTCAGTTCATTTAAATATAAATAACAAAGCCTTTGATAAACAGTTTGTAAACATATAAACATGTTCGATTTATATTCGTTTATTAAGCTTAACAAATAATTACGAAAAATATTTCATAATTTATTAATTAAATAAACAATCATAAATATAACAAAATTCCTTCATATTCAATTTATCTATACTTTAATTTAGTTATCAATTTTAAAAATAGAAAACTTGAACAAATAACCCAACAAGTCACTTAGTTTAATCGAATGAAATCTGAAATCGAATTAATCCACCCTATAAACCAAATGAAATCGATTTCAGTCAGTTTTGTCAATTCGCCTAGACTTATGCTCAACTCTAATCAGATATCACTTATTACGGGACTAGACCTCCAGCCCAAAGACTAGTCTATTCAAGAGATCAGCAGAAGGATCACAACGCTCCCTTCCCTTTAGCAGTAGAAACATAAAACGTCAGTGATTAATGACAAAGATTAAAAAAAAAATTGTAACTTATAATATGTGTGTCAAACAAAATTTTCTATAAACTTGAGTGATCAATATTGCTGTAATTTACTTGTAATATTTTCTAATAATTTTCTAAAATTTTTAAATCGAAATACAATATTCTCAGTTTTTCGCTTCTTAATTATTTCAGCATAAGAAGGAACCTAATTGTAAAACTTGAAATTCCAGTTGAAAATTCTATTCGAATCTTGAGAGAGGAAAGTAAAATTTATAGAATAGAAGATTACTAATTAACTCCTGTTATCAAACTAGAAAATCATGAATGAAAAAATCATACGGTTACTCAATTTTTATTAGAAGAAAAATGAAGGATATAGATATATACGTACTAAGGAAGTGGGCAAGGCCCTCGATGCCGTCAGGATCGGAGAAGTAGCCGACGCTAACAAGCATACATGCAGCAGACTGAAACATGAAAAGTGAAAATCAGAATTTTTGGGGATAGATTGATAAAATTTGGAGAGAAAAGAAAAGGAGTAAGAAAGGGTGGCATGGAGATCGGCTTGCCTTGTCGGTGTCGGGATCGCTGACCAGGAGAACTTGGAGGGAGTTTCCGAGGACGATCCTCCTGTATTTTCTCTCGTCTGTTCGAGGCTTTACTATAACTACCTCATCGTTTTCTATTCCATTAGCCATATTTTCAGCTCGGTCGAGAGAGAAAGAGCAATTTGTTTTTATCTTTCTGCGGGTTGATTTTCAATACCTTGAGAAGGATAATTTCATCTTCAAGTTGTCACTATTATGAGTTGGAGTTTTTTTTAATTGTGAATATTTTATTATTATTTTTTAAATTATTATTTTTACATATTATAATAAATATGTGATCACCCACAAATCCCATTAATGAAAATTTTAAACTTTGGCCCATGCACGGATGTATAAGAGAGCTTAGGGTCCATGATCTCCCAAAAATTTTAAAAATATTATTATAAAATTTTAAAACTTTTTTTAAATAAATTTATTAGGTTTCTTCAAATTTAAATTTATTATGTTCATATATGTTATTCTTTATTATATATTAGATATATAATAACAAAAATCATTTGTATTTAAATGTTATAATTTTTTAATTTGAGTTTACTTACTATAAATGATTTTTAATTTAAAATTAATAAATTTATCATCATTATATTTGCACAAATATGTATATTTAATTTAATATATATATATGAGTATTATGATAATTAAAATCAAATTGATAAATTATTAATTGTAATTTTTTTTTCAACCAAATTTTTTTTATATCTTGCATGTTTTTTTTTTTTTAATTATTATTTGTCAAAATAATTAACATAATTAGTTTAAGTTTCTTTTTTTTTTTATAATTTAAAAATATCATGTAAAACATTAGAAGCTTTTAACTTGCAGTATTAAATTCTCTACTTTATTGTCCTAAAATCTAATTTTTTATTTATAATATAATTTTTATGATTTTTTTACTTTAATGCTTAAAACATTAAATATAATAAAATAATATATTAATAATATAAAAAATATAATTATTTTATTTTTATTACGAATGTTGTTGGTGATTCATAACTAAAAATTATAGAATCGTTTGCTTAATGTATTTATTTTATTATACATATATTCATATATTAATATGTTTATGATTATAAATTTTGTTATTATATATTACATTCAAAATATCTTTTTTATTATTAATAAATAAAAATATTTAATATTATAAAATATTACTTCAATCTACTCAAAATTAAACCTTAAATCCATCACTGCTTCGACTATGAATAAGATAACTTTCCCGTCGTCCTTGTGCAATAAAGACTAAAGCTATATAAAATTATCTCACACCACTCATTAGACATTATTTTCATTTTGATGAATTAATACGATATTACCCAAATTTCCCTGGTGCGCGTTGACAAAGGAATTTGACTCATAATAGTAGAAAAGGAAACAGCTCTTTCCTCTTTAAATAAAGGCAAAAGTTTTCTTTTTTTTTTTCACTGACGAGATATGCCCCAATTGGATCTCAGCACGATAATTGATAAGCAAGTATTTGATTTTGCACGTCTTTTCATTCTGAATGGAGCGGAGCACGAGAATCGGTAAGCATATTTTGATTTTACAAGTCTTTTCCATGTCTGAGTGGAGCACGAGAATCGATACGATAAGCAATAATTTGATTTTTCATTACCTGTACCCTGTCGCAGCTGAATGCTGTGAGGTGGCAAATGTGCGTTTTAGTCGCACTTGGAAAGAATAATTTCAGATTTGGATTTAGTAGGTTCTGACAAGAAAAAATTTGATTCATTTCAATTTAGGTCACATTGAATTTGGGTTAAAGAAAAACGGGTTTTGGCTATTTTAAGTCAGATTAATTCGAATTTAAATTAAATTAAATTAAATAAAATTATTTTATATTTGAATTAATTAGATTCCAATCATTTCAATTACGAATATTTTAATTTAAAATTTAAATTTTTGAATTTTGGATTATTTAATTTAATAGTTAGGTCGTTGGATTATTTGTAAACTTATAAAATTAAATAAATATAATTAAAATATTAAAATCAAACAAAATAATTTATAATAAAATAGAGTGAAATATAAAATTAATTTTATTCATGATAAATAAATTATTTTTATTAATTGATATTTAATATTTGTTATTAATATTTCATACATTAATTACTAATTTATTATTATAAATTTTTTATATTTTATATAATAATATTCATCCAAATCACTTATTAATAATATAGACAATAAACAAATAATTAAATAATTTTAAGAAGATTTAACATAAAATTATTACCAAAGAATACGATAATGTTAAAAAAAATTATTGATATTGATTAATCGATTAGTTATTACAATAATTTTATGTTGACTCTTTCAAAATTTTGTTTATGGTTAGACGAAGATGAATGCATCGTAAAAATAAATATTTAAGTTTAACTCGGCCCAAAAAGATGTAACCCTTGTATTATTGAAAATTAATTATATTTTTATCATAATATAATAGTTTGATCAATAATTATGATATTTAACTATTTATTATTAATTTTAAATTTAACAATAAATTATTTTGAATTTAAATCAATTCAAATGGGAATCATGTGAAAATCAAATTGTAGATGATTTAATCAAATCAAGCTATTGAATTTGAATTCAGACAAAGGAAGTGAGTTTTTCGCACCGATCCAGCTTTTGACACTTTTAAAAATGCCTAATTAATATTTTGCTATTAATCTGTTTGTTTCTTAATTTTCAACTTTTAAAAAGCATCTTCGGACTTTGTAGCTTTTTATCTTTAAGAATTCCTTATCTTTATAATATTCCATGCATGAGTGGTGTCTTGGATTCCTGCACGATACGCAATAATTTGATTATCAATAATTTGATTTTGCATTTGTCTTGTTTATATGATCTTTGCTACTTTTTAATTTTTTAAAAGTATCTTTGGACTTTGTTGCTTGGCTTTTTATCTTAAAAAAGATTCTTATATATATGATTTTTTATGTCATGCATAGTTGGAATGTTTTGCGCGTTATTGATGCACTTTTTTTAATTTTATTACCTGGCTATATTTGAAATTATTTTCATTTTAATGAATTAATATAATATTTCTCAAATATCCATGGTTTACGTAGATAGAAAATTTTGATAAATAATAATGGATTTTTCATGATGAAAAATGTGATTATCTTAGATTCTAGCACGATAAGTAATAATTTTATTTTATTTTTTGTGCATAGTAATAATTTGATTTTGCATTTATCTTATTTTATATTATCTTTGTTATTTTTCAATTTTTTAAAAGCATCTTTAGACCTTGTTACTTAGTTTTTTAGCGTTAAAAAAATTTTTTGTCTTTTTTCTGTCATACATGATTTGTATGTTTTGCATGTTATTGATGCACTTTTTCTAACTTTATTGCTTAGCTATATTATTACGCTGCTTTTTGTTACACTTTATTTTTATACTTTGCTTTTTAAGGACGTTTTATTATTACCTTCAAGGCCATCTATATATATATATATAACCAACAATAACCAGTGAGAAATTGACATTAATCTAGCGATTAAAACCAAATGCAAATGCATTATACCGCACTGTGCGGTGTAAAACTTTGCATTTGGTTTTAATCGAGCAGCGTGATTGATGTCGATTTCTCACTGGTCATTGTTGGTCCAGTGCTTAATTGAAGATTCATTTCTTTTATTTTTTATTATAAATACAAAAGTATCCTACAATTTAATTTTTTTTCTTTTTATATTTTATATTTTTTACTTAAAATATTTGAAATAATTTTTTAATTTAATATAATAAAAATATTATTTGATATATTCTTATTATTAATTTTTTATTATTTATCATAAAAATAATTTTTTAATTATTTATGAATTTTATAAATATTAAATAATTTAAATATATCATAATAAGAATTTTCAATTTTTTTGGTCTTCACAAAAAAAACTTATTTAAATAATTAAGTTTAAATCTAACTTAATAGTCTTTTAATAATACTAATAACATGAAATTAATATAGTAAAAATATATTAAAATAAGTAAAATTTTATTAAAAGTAATATAACTAAAATTTATATAATTTACAAATAAATACATTAAATATTTGCTGAAAATAATTAAAAAAATTTTCTTAATTCTAAAATTTTCGCATTTTATAAGCATTTGATTTATTTTGAGTCATAAAATCTCAAACATCCATAATCTCTAATAACAAAAGAAAGTACAAATTTAATTTAGAAATATAATTCTACAATTTAAGATTTTGTTTCGACAAAAATAATTTTCAAAAATTTAAGTTTTGAAGGTCAAAACTTTGTCAATCATCACAAACAAGTCTAAACTAATTTGTGCTATTTGTGATGATTTACAAAGTTTTAATTTCGGAAACTTAAATTTTTGGAAATCATTTTTGTCAAAACAAAATTCTAAGTTATAGTATTATATTTCTACTTTAAATTCTTACTTTTCTTTATCATTAGAAATTGTGGAATGTTAGATATTTTGTAACTCAAAGTAAATCAAATGTTTACAAAATATGAAAATTTCATATTTAATAAAATATTTTTAATTATTTTAAAAATTATTTTGAAAAAATATTTGATGTGTTTAGTTATAAATTATATAAATTTTAGTTATATTTTTTTTATAAATTTTTAATTATTTTAATATATTTTTACTATATTAATTTCATGTTATTAGTCTTGTTAAAAGACTATTAAATTAGATCAAACTTAATTATTTAAATAACTATTTTTATGAAGACCAAAAACATTGAAAGTTCTTATTATGATGTATTTATACTAATTAAAATAATATTAACTTTGATATATTAATTTAAATTATTAATATTATAATTGATTAATATAAATGATAATAATATTATTAATATGATATTATTAATAATTAATTATATATAATAAAAACTAATATATTAGAGGAACTAAAATATTTTTAAATTTTAATATTTTGAAAAAACTGTAAAAATTCAAAATATTTTTTATATTAGAGAGATTAAATTTTAAATTTCATGTGAGTATAAAGACTAAATTTCAAATTTCATATAAAAACCATTTGTATAATTTAATCACTAATTTCATCAATCATAATTATAATGTCAGCAAGTCAATGTCACGTCAATATGATCAACGGCCATATTAACATGGTTAACAACTACGTCAACATGGTTAACGACCATGTCAGCTATTTAATGAAGATGAAGTAGTGGTGTCATCAATTGGACCAACATTATTAGCTAAATTAGTACGAG